TTAGTAGAATGTCTAAAGTGGACTATCAAAATAAAGTGTAACCGTAAATAGTAATAGTAAAATCCTATAGTTCAAAATACTTCTAGTTATGCTTATTCACATTAATGTTCCACAAGTCATCTCAAAGATGATTAAAACAAATGTATAGGACCTTAAATCTAGAAGACTGTATCCTAAGGGTGCTACCTGTTTTAGCAAGTCAAGCATGAATAAACAGACTTTTTTTTCTTTTTACTTTCAAAGTGTAAGCTCTTAACACCATATTCAATTTCTTCCCTGCAACATATGTTTATGCCATTAACACGCTCAAATGTGTCTCAGGACAAGCACATATGGCGTGGCAAATCCAACAAAGGATAATCTTTCATAAATCCCCAGTATAGCTACACATGACAATGATCAATTATATAACTGAACTCTGGATAGGTACCACAGATGTATTAATGCTGAGACGTCATCAACCATTTCTTTACCGCTTTCAATTAGAAAAGTATTCATAGTTCAGATAAGGACAACATGTTCATACTGACATTCAAAGCCCTGAGCGTGGGCTTGACACTCGGCAGTGGACGGACATGGGGACAGCTCGCACCACCTGACCTCCTCACAGCGCTGTCCCGCTGTATTGGGTGGGCAGCTGCACGTGAAATCATCCCACATGGAGTAACACACACCTCCATTCAAGCAGGGATTATTCTACAACAGATACTCACAATCACTCATCACAGTACATATTGTCATTTTAAACAATAAAGATTAATTCGCCTTTAAATCTTGAAGAAGACTTTACTGCTCTTCAATTTCACATAATATTATTTTGATATTTGGCAGTGCTGCTTAAACTGCTGGGGTCTGTTTCCAATAGCGAAAGGGTCTGGAAACACTCCCTGAATTATGAACATTGTGAATGATGTAATAATTCATAATGTATGGAGATTTATCATATTTTTTGATGTTTTCAAAATACTTAGATTAATCATATTTAGAAAGCTTAACAACATGTCTACGAACGTTTGGTCGAAGTCAAGCATTATAATTCCAGAATTGTGAACACTGTGAATGATGCGATCATTAATAATGCATAATGTTTTCATAATTTTTGAAGTTTACAAAATATTCAAACATATTAAACATATTTAGGCAGTTTAGCAAATTGGAAAAAAATTGTATGGTTCAAGTCAAGCATTATTATTCCAAAATTGTGAACAACGCAAATTATGTAATCATTCATAATACATGTGTATTTATCTTTTTCATAACATTTGAAGTTTACAAAACATATTAATAAACAAAATTAGAAAGTTTATCAAATTGCAAAAAGCTATTCCTCAAGTCGAGCATTTTTATTACAGAATTGTGAACACTGTAAATGTCGTGATCATAAATAATATATGAATATTTTTCTAATAATTCATAATATGAACGTAGTATATTAAAATATTTAGAGTATTTAGAACAT